CTAGGCCGGGACTTCCAGCCCTGGGAGTGCAGGCAGGCTGGAGGACCACTGCCAGCAGGGCCAACAGCCAGATTCTGCTCTTGGCTACTACCCCAGTAAATTTAGTAAATTTAGAGTGACCCCCTAGCACTGACTTGGTCTTTGCAAGTGGTCAGAGCAGACCTTGGACAAGGGATGGCACTTCAAGACAATCATCTGGGGCCTGGTGTAAGCAAAATCACCCTATAAAAGAGAGTAAAACTGGCAAACACAACTATTGCTCCTGGCATGCAAGTACTTCCATATTGATTCAACACTTAAAAAGGCACTGAAGTGAGGATGTCCTTGTTTCAAACCCTCCAGCAAATTCACTTTCGCTTTTGGCAACCTGCTGTCTTCTCACCCCTCAGCTCCTTCCCCATGACTGCAGCAGCACCTTCCTCCACTGCTGAACCCCATCAGCCTCTGTGCTGCCTCCCCTCGCTCCCTCCTCTGCTTAGCTTCCTGCTTCAAGTCCTTCTAGAGCAGAAGCAAAAAATTTTGCCTGACCACCCTGGCAAAAGCAGGGAGAAATGCTTGCTGAAGTCCACCAGGAAGCTGTCACCCATGCAGGCATTGCAGCTGAGCTCCGGGCTGTGAACCTGCCCCCTCAGCCCTGTCTCTCCCAGGACACAGGAGCCCATGAGGGACTGCAAGCTGGCCAGATCAGGGTAGTTTTTCTCCAGTCAGAGGCTCTGGAAGGATTATTTGGCTGCAACATATCATATGACTTTGTTCTTAGAGTTACATTTTAACTGAGAAAGTTTAACAAGTATGACTTATGGGCTTCTAAAATTGGCAGTAGAAAAATGAGCTGAGGAAGTCATGGAAAAAAACCACAAGCGAGGCCATTCCATGTTATGCACAATTTCTGGGCTCTTTTTCCAAACTTCTGGTTTTTTTGGATGGTGGAAAATATTTTCCAGCTACACAGGCCTGGCTTCACTGAGTATGTATTTATGCCAAGTTTATAAAAAGCAGCTGCAGACATGGTTGAATGAAAGGATTACACTGCTGTCTGTCCTCCAGAAGGTGCTTCAGTTCACACCCTGTCCCACAGAGAGAGGCTCACTTCTCAAATCTTCATGAATTTATGTAAAGAAGGACAAAATTTGAACCGTACAATACAAACTATGGCTGTGCACACAAATGGGCATGCACACATGTACACATGGCTATCTGGCTAGTTAGTGGCAGTTTCTGGCCACTGCTAATGCTGGCTTTTAGCACCTGAAACTTACCACCATTCCTCCAACCTCTCCCCACCCTGGTCCATCTTCCATGAATACAACAATGGGGAGTGGGCTTTCAGGGTCGAGACCCTGGTCTCAGTGTATTTCTGCTGCCTGCTTCACATGTACCTGCTCTCCAGCTGCTCCCACTGAAATTCAGGCTTCACCAACCTCACGTACTCTCAGGCTGCCAGGCTTTAAGGCTAGAAGGGATTTCTGTGAACATGCAGCCTGATCCCCTCCACAGCACACTGCCACTGAATTTCAATCAGGAACCCAGGCAGCAGAGGCATAACCTTAATTTTCAGCCGTGCCTTGTCACAGCCTTGGCCTGATACACTACTCACAAGAGGAAAGTCACAAATAATTCTTCACTCTCCTAAACAGAATAGCTCCAGGGAGTGGGGGGAGGACACAAGCTGAAAGTAAATGCATATAAAAAGGTAAGGTAGGTGGTAAGCTGCAGATTGTGCATTACAGATCTGTACCCTGCTGTTTTTGCAGTCGAGTATCTTAGAATAACAGTACTGAGAACGACAGTGTTACATCAGGAATATCGGTCAAGACAATATTTCCTGGCAATTGTTTGAGAAATGCTTTTCTCACAGCTAATTGCTCCCTAGAGGCTGCGTTTTCTCTGTTTTTAGAAGGAGAGCGATTAAGAAAGAAGGTTTTTAAACCTCTGCACCCTGCTGTAGGACAAAGAACTGTGGGGGGAAAAGGGAAAAAAGAAAGAAAAGAAAAAGGCACAAGAGCTGTAATGTTCTATGAAATGATTTTGTTCTTTTCTCTTGCCGGGGTGGTGAGTGCAATCATCAGTTTGGCAGAGATAAATACAGAAAAAGGAAGACATTTTACAGAAGCCCCAGCTGCAGGAGTACCACATTGCCATCTAGCGACACCGGCTCTGGGAAGCTGAAACACACGGGGCTTCGCCGGCTCTCTGTGCCTGCCACGCCGGTGCCTGCCCCTGGGCAGAAGGCAGCTACCTGGACGTGGGGCCTCATTTCCTTCCTGTGCTTTACAGCCAAGCTTGAGAACTGCAAAACCACTTGGTCTATAAAAGACAGGTGTAGGAAGGCAAGGGGAAAATGGAAAAATTCCACCCAAAGGAAGTTTAAGACAAACTTGGCTTTGCTGGGATAAACCTGGTGCTTATACTGAGGCCCACAGATTCTCATCTTCCATTGCTGCTGCTGCTGCTGTTGCACTCAAAGTTACCACACCTTGGGCATCTTCTGCAATTGTCATATGAATGTCTATGGCAAAATGATAGGCTGGCGGGAGCATGAGCACTACCTTGTCCCAGGGAGACAGGCCTGAATCTTGACCTGATGTGCTGTCTCCAGTTATGCTGCCAAACACGTCAGTACCTGTGTGCCCAGATGCTATCCTGCAGTGCCAACTCTGATAATTTGACTCCACTATGTGCCTCTGCAATTACACATTTCCTTTGTATTCTGAAAAGAATACAAACGTTAACCTTTCAACACTTTAAAAAAGAAAAGCCAAAATGCTAATAAGCCCCTTAGACAGCAAAAGTCAGGCACTTGATCTTCAGAAGATGCCTAGCAAAGGGCAGTGAACAAATACTTTTGTATGACCTTCACATAGGAAGTTAAAAAGAAAAAAGAGCTTTGGTGACTAGGAATTCTGACATTCATTGAAAGATGTTAAATTGGAAGATCCTGGATGCAGCAGACTTATATTTAACCAGAAAACAAAAACACTGCCAATGCCTGAACTGCCAGAAGAGACCATCATTTTGGGAAGCAATGGCAGAAGCCTTGCATCAGGCATCCAAGACTGCCCACAAAGCTCTGCTTCGTGGCACGTGCACTTCCCTACTGGAAATACATGACCACTCTCACACCTTATGGGCACTGAAAGATGATTAGTAGCAGACTGTATTGGCTGTGGTGCAAAGGACAGTATGTCTAGCTAATCATTAGCTCTGTCTCTTTGGTCCCCGAGTCCTGTGAAGCTTCACAAGAGCACAGTTGTACTGCATTTGCAGCAATGTCAATAAGGATGACATTCTTTGATATTATCAAAAATAATGTAGTCTTCCAAGAAAAAAGAAAAATGCAGTTAAGTTCCCCAATATGAAGATAATCTATGCTGCTCCAGTGAATTACTCTTACAGTAGCATTTCTTCAAAATCCCAGAGTGATGGCCTCTACAAATTCTTTGGTGACTGAACACTATGAGGACCTACGAATACTCTGAATTTACAAAACTACTTCTTCATCAATCAATAACAAAGTTTGTGTTGTCACCCCTCGAGATCAAGCCCACATCACCTGCAACATTATCAGGAGCTGGGGAGGCAGAATTTGAACAGTAAGATTTTAAAAAAGGAAAGCCATAAAGGATCCTGAGTCTGAGCCGTTGCTGGTTCTGTCAGACTGCAATCTGGTTGTTGTTTTTTTTTCTTTAAAATCAGGGTGAGATCACTATTTTTCTTGAAAATGTGCTGCCTAAGATAGGAAACATCCATCTGTGAAAAGATCTAAAGTCTAATGACAAATATTGTCAAGCCTGCTGAAAAACTTCGAGGGCAATGCAGCAGAGAAAACACTGCTCCCAACCTTGTCAGTTGGGACAAGGTCCTAAAGCTATCCTGGAAACAACCAAAATGAACAGAGGGATTCTACACAGGAGCCAATTTTTTTCCCTGCTTCCCATTTTGTGACATAAACCAGGGGGAGAGCACCACCCCAATATCAATACAGTCCATCCCCGGGACTCTGTGCCCTTTAGAAAATCAATATAACTTCTGAGCACTTACTTCCATGGTTGCCCAGAGAAGCCAAGGTGCCCAAGTGGTTAGCTCAAGCTTCCACTAAGAACCAGATGGTCCATTGGTTCTTGAGGGTCACAGGACACACCAGTCTGATCATCTGACTTTCTGAATATATGTCTACCACATATCCAGCTCCTGCCAGGGAGAAGCTTTCCAGAAACCAGCTCCAAAGTAGAAAAAGGAGGACAGAGCCAAATGGCCAACAGATAACATCTGTTCTAACCACCAAGACTTTGAAGGTCAAAAGCATGATTTAGAAGCCTGCATTGTTTTTAAGGATGGGGTAGCTGTCCAAAACTGGGCTACAACTTTCTCTCTGTAAAGTTTTCAACCATTTTATCAGGTTGTCAAGTTTTCACAGTTTGCAATCCAACATCTAGCGGACACTGACTCACTGCATTGCCTTCTAAGCTATTTCCCTCACTTACACCTGCTTAATACCTATGACCCAGCTTTGCATGATGGTGTCACCAAATTTCAGGCACTACAGCGTGGGCTGATTACTAAGTTTTGACAGAACAGTCAGAGTTCCTTCTAAAGTTACTATCCAACAGCAAGCTAGATTTTTGAAAGACTGCTTCTTACATTTACAGTGCAGAAGGCACTTATGAACTGCAGGACTGCCAGCAGAGCAATTAACACAGTGCTCGACAGCTTATGTTCTTTGATTTCAGCTGGGACGGGGGAGTTGTGCTTCAAATCTATTCAGTTAGAGAGTGTCTTTAATACTTTTTTCTTTTAGTAGGTTTCATGATTTCTAGGCAGGTCTATGGTTGGTTGAGGTCTGATTTTTCCTGATTACACTAGTAACTACCACTGATTAGCCAACCACTCTGAAATGACTGCGACGTAAGAAAAGAAGCAAGCTTTAGAGCTTCATACATAATTCAGATAAAACACCCACCCAATTGCTACCAAAACAATCGTACTATCCTAAACCTTACCTTCTCCCTTCCTGTGTCACTGTCCCAATGTCCTGCTCTTGACTGCTTAGGTTTCCATGAGGAAAGGACCATGCAGAGTAAATTACGGGATCAGGACCGCAGGTTGTGAGCTTGCAGAAGCAGAGACTTCATCTTGACAGATTCTTCAGAGTGCCACACACATCTCTGCTGGTACAGAAGTAATAATAATAATTTCATGCTAAGAATTCTGCCAGTGCCAATGGCCAGTAAATAACACCCCTACAAAGAAGTAAAAAAGGGCCCTGAGTTGTGTTAGACAACTTCTAACATAAGCCAAGGAACCTGATGTTAAAGCTCAAAACTTCAGATGGAGAGATAAAACCAAATGAAACATAAATCAAATAGCAACCCCTCATGGTTATGCAAATTCAGGTGAGTGTCATTATGTCAAACACTCCAATTAGAAGAACTCCATAAACATGGAGGCTGTAACCTGGGGTCAGATGGGGCTTCTCTTCTTTATACAGGCAAAAGCTTCCACCTCCTTAATTCTAGGAGTTGGTAGTCTTCATCACCGTAACTTACAGGACCAAGCGATTACATTATACCAGGTCAATGTGTGGTGAAAGTAAATTTCCATCAAAATCCAACTGTTCCCACCAATAATGAGATACGGCTATGAATTGATTAGGTGTGTACTATCAATTAAAAACAACAGAGAAGACTTTCTCAAAGAACATGCTTGCTCAGGAATCCCTTTTCTCCATTTCTTCATTTAATTAGTCATTGCATTATAATGAACAAATTCATGCAATAATCGTCATTTTAATCATCAAAGCTGAATATACATTCTTTCTCATTAAATAATATTAAATACAACAAGAGATGCTAACCAGGTTGTTTCAGAACTCCAGGAAATGCTCTTTTACATACATGCCAAAACAGGCAAATATTGTTTTCTTACAGCAAAATTCTGTATCTTCCAGGCTATGTTACACTCTGTAACATAGCCAGTGACCTAAGGAAGGAGGAGAAGCATGGTTTGCTGAGACAGTATCTTTTAGTAAACAGCTCTCTCTAGATACTTGTCACGTTTTAAGCAGACTTTGAAGAATTTCTAACTAACAAGCTGAATGCTTGGAAAAATGTTGACTAACAGCTACAAGGGTGGAAAATTGCCATTTACTTGTATGGCATAAACATACACTTTCCCTCTGCAAACATAGACCAGGAAGCAGAGAAAAACCACTTCTGAGGTGTACAAGTAAAGATTCCGTTTCAAGCCAGGGTGTCACTACAATACAAATATCTGTCTCCAAGGCATGAGGGAGACCCCATCAGCTCCCTTCATGTCAGCTACAGGATCGCAACAGGGTGAGTAGATTTTGCCACCTTAAGTTGAAATTCAACCAGCAATGAAAATGCATCCTGTCACGAACCTATAACATCTTGCCCCCTCATTTTTTTGGTTGGCTCTCCTTACATGTGCCATCACTTCCACCCCTACTTCAGTTAACAGGTACACTTCTTTCACTCCAGCTAGCAAAGCTCATGCAGCTGGGCAGGGGAAAACTCTTCTCTTGCATGCCTGGGAATGAGATTCAGTTGCATTTTGTTGCAGAGTTGAAGTTGTACAATGCAGCTGGCTTATCTATATACCTAGTTTGTGTAGAGGGATGGAGAGAAAAAGGGAAATTCTTCTAATCACGTCATCATAACAAGTCAGACACACAGGATTTAAAAAGCCAAATTTAGATATTATCAGTAGAAACACTTGCCACTGCTGCCCCACTGAGCCTGTCTTATACACTGTACCAAATCTGTCTCAACAAAATGCTGCATTGCATCACCTCACAAGACAGGAAGATCCTAAAAATCAGGATTTTGCAGGATGAGCTTGCACAAAATGTGTGTGCAAAACTGCCCTCTGCTGTTTAGATTAAGACCTGCTCAGACAAATGATGTGTGACCAAATCAGTTTTGAGCTACAAGGGTCCAAGACGCAAAGAGGCAAAACTATCTGACTTCATCTGTTTTCTGCCTCCATGCACACGAGGAATTTCATAGGCGAACAGCACTCACAACTGCCTTGCAACATGGACCATCCTGACAGATCTGTAGGCTGTAGCAACATCGTACCAGTTGCAACACTCTGTTAAGCAACTCTCCCACCATGGGTGGGCATCACCAGACATCTTCTCACCCCAAAGATGAGTTGAGAACACCTTCAGGGTGCAAGGGAAATGATGTAATTGCGGGTGAGCGCTGCAGGACATACATCTGTCAACCTGTTAAATCAAGGCCTGAGCTTTACACAGCAGGAACAGAAACTGTATGCCTGGAGTCAAAAGCTTATAGCACAGAGGCCTTTATGACTTCAGGATTACTAAGTTGCAGTGATGATCAGAAAATGGAGTAGCAAGCTCATCAAAAGATGTTGAGTAAATATTCTGTAAAACTAGCCCCTGCTGCAAGGAAAGAAGAGAGAACCTGTTTGGTTTTTTTTTCATGAACACATGGAAATCACTATGTTTTAAAAAAGCTGCCCGTTATCTACTGCCAGTATGCTGGACAGTTTGGTACAGAAACATCACAGAAAGGCCAGCTGTTTTCTATGGCTTGCCTCACACATTCATACACAGATGTGGCAAATTCTGCCCTCTGAGAATAGCATCAGATAGCCACATCTTCTTTGGGAAGTTCTAGTTTGGTACAAATGCAGAAAAAAAGTACAGATACCCACAGGAGTTCAATTTCTGGAGTGCCTCCAACAAAAGCTAGCCCAGTCCTCGTGAATTAAGCACAAGTTTCAGCTCTTTGCAACAGGCTTTTGGTCAGTGCATAAAGAAAACTGTAAGCTATGCTGGTCAGTGTAAACACACAAACTAAAAACCAAACCAAAACTTGGGTACAACAGAAGCCTTGAAGAATACTTTTTTTTCCCACAACAGCCCTTTTCATATCCATACGTTTAAATACACAGAAGCACGGGTGTACTGTACAACATGCCTTTGAAACCATCACTGAAAGCACTTAGTGACCACTTCAAAGCTTCCCTTGATGTTTAACTCATGTTAACTGTAACACAACAGTCATGTAGGGCCACTGTTCAGCCTAGGGGACTTTAAACACACCATCAACAGATGTACAAATGAAACTTTAGAGATTCTTCTCAGTGCATAAATAGCTAGAGCTTTACTTTGATGATGGCTGGCTGGCCTCCTACACAGCAGGCCTGGGACTTCTCCATTTTTCAAGTTAAGGGCAACAGTAATATTCTGTCAACCCCCAGGAAAAGGAAATTAGTGCCAGATGATTCAGTGTGTGCCTGATCACTCTGGTTTTGGATTTGATTCCATTATCTAGAAAGCTTAATGGTGAGACATCAAAGGTAGTCCTGCATGATAATGAAACTAGCTGGGTGTTTTTTCTATAACAGCTGCCTGAGAAGCTCATAACCAATGACAGAAGACTTCCCAACATAAAACTAACAGACCTCTCATATTCTTTATGAGAAATCCTTTTAGTGCTGAAAACAAGTGTCTTATTCTTGGAGAACCACAGAAAAGAAGATGGCTCTTTCTGGGAAAAAGATTAGTTTAACCTGCAGTAAAATAAAATTATAGATCTTATTCACCAGCAGCTGTGAGCTCAGTAGCAGCAAATACACAACTGGAACGGCTCACTTTCACATCTTCTTAATTTGCACAGGTGAAAGGAAATACAGTACTACGCACAGCTAAGGTAATGGTATTACTGCTGCTGATGCAGTAACATCAATCACTGCCACCACCCTTCTCATGACCCGTACTTTGCTTGTGTCTGAAACACCTGTGGGCTGTGCATGCTAGCTACACCACTGCCAGCCTGCCACTGTTGGAGCAACAGCAAATTCCCATTCTAGACAACATCTTCCAAGTCTTCATTTTGTAAGGTATTAGCTTCACTGGGAGATTTGGAGGGAAAAAAAATTCAAGTCTTATTAAAAGGATTCATCATTCCCACTCAAGGCACTCAAAACAGGTATCAGAGCTTGCTCTGGCATACTAACCAGGTACTTCTGGGTTATGAAGTAGGAGAATAAATTTTCATTTAAGGCTACATTTAAACCTATGCTATCTAAAATTTTGTTTGTATCTGACTTTGCAGGATCAAGAAAACTAAAAAGGGATGCAATATGTGTGTCTGTGATGCTTATTAAAACAAATAACATTTATAGACATAATCAGAGTATCACCAAGCCTTCCATCAGGATCAGAATTGACACCCAGGTTTGCTAAAACACACTTAGTTCAGAAGAGCTTTGTTGTAAGCTAAAAGGTGAATTCAAATTGCTATCATTACACCAAAGAGTGTAGAAAATTGTTCAGGTTTGAAGGAAGGGTGCTACTTTTGTCTTATGCTGTTTGGGTTTGTTTTTCAAGGCAGGATGGAAGAGTTTGATCTACCTTAAGACAATGCTAAAAGCTGAACTAAAAAGATATACTGAAGTGACCACCACCAGCAAGGACAGCAGGTAAATATGCTAACAGTTCTGTCAACATAACCTATGAAATCCTATTTTTTACTTAAAGGGTTAGAAAAGAAAAACTCCTCCAAAAAGCCTCATTAAAAACAGAACCTTCTGCAATTTCACAGTAAGTGCAAAATAACTTTGTTCCTCTAAAATAAATTAAAAGAGCACCTCATCCATTGTCACCTGAAGAATATGGCTAAGTTTTACTTTTACCTTATGCTACCTGAACAATTCAAGCACAACTTCACTTAACTACAGCCAGCTGTTCCAAGAAATTTTTGTTCACACCGGCCATTAACTTCAGTATTTGTCGCATTACAGAATGATTTAACAGCACCTCAAATCTTTGGAAATCGTGTTTTCAAGGGGTTAAGGGAAATTACTCTTCCATGGCAAATCATCTTAACAGACTGACTCAGTAAGAAACACTTCTACTCCGAAACTCAGGTATTTGACTGCTAGGTCACAATCAGCTATCCACTTAACCTCTGAAAAATCCTGTATGAGGCAATTTCTGAACTGTTGCGGAGAACCTGCCTTTACAGAAACTTACACCA